ACGCATATGTGTGATCAATGGACACGAGATGCTTGGGATCGATTCAAGCCATCAATTCACCAATATAGTCACAGAAAGGGTGCACCTGGAGACAATGGTAGAAAGCATGCGAAACCATTTCCTCTAAACCAAGGTCACACCGATGACAGTCGGGCAAATCCGCCCTGCTCCATCTGAAGGCTATGTCATTGAGAGATAGCTTGTTCTGGACCAATCATCAGGTAAGTGAAAACTCAGGATTACTGTCATGACCGCTTCCCATTCACCTGCACCACAGCACTGGAGGCTGTTGGAATCCAACAGCCTGCAGGACAGCAGCCAGGTACTGATAGTCGACCCTGTTGAATGCTTTGAACTGATCCAAATTGATCAGTACAGCTGCTTCATCATCCTCTACTCTGTTGGTGATCTTGTGAAACAGATGCTTGCACCACCTATTCCTGATAACTGCCCTCTCTAGCTCCCACTGCACTAATCTAGTCAGCTGTTGTCGAAAGTCCCGCCTGTCCAGCAAGGACAGATTGAACTTCAAGTGTCCAGCCATTCTAGGCCTAACATCTAACGCCTCCTGGGTAGGTCTGTGGTTCGAATAGCCTAACCAGTGGAATGTGGGACAATCTAGCAGATCTAGATCAACCCTTCTTACTAACTGTTGAAGCTTAAATAAGCATGGAATAATACAACACAAAATGTACGTTAACAAAATGTATTGAAACAAAGAATAGGTACACAATATTTACAGTTAGTTTGGTATATTCTTGGGAAGACTGTTCCTGCATAATGGGTTGACTAAATCGCAGTCGGGCAGAGTCTCTCCTATCTTCCCCGTCTTCCGGTACCAACCCATATTTATATGGTCGGTAGTTCGCTTATGTAAATTAGGTGTATCATACACAACACTAACATATCCAGGTAGCTGTCTACCCAGGTAGATGGCCACTTATGAGCCCATGTCCACATCTCCTCATTTGGGTGATTGCCTGTTACCTATCGACAAGACCAAACTTGACGATCAGATCAACCAGGCAATGAGCACCCAACTTCCTGCTAGCTCCCTGCTCAGTTTGGGGTCCAGGACAGCATTCCAGTCTCCCACTAAGACTAAGCACAACGAATCTACCAAGAACGACTGAATAAGGAGACACACTTCTGATCATTGGGTGCATAAACCGCAACAATCCAAAATAAACAACTTTTCATGGCAATATTAGCCACAATCAACCAGCCCTTGGCATCAGTGTGGACAAGGTCCACCCTCACCCCCAGGGTACATTTAATCAGTAAGGAAACACCTCTGGCCCGCTGGTCCTCATATGCTGAATAAACAACAAAGTTGCTAGACAGGGCATGAGCATCAACTTCACAAACAAAATGTGTCTCCTGGATCGTGGCCATGTCTACGCTGAACGACAAGAGATCCAAAAGTAGGTGGGCTGTCTTACTCAGACTCCAGGACATTCATTGGCTGGCTTGATTGACCTTTTTTAAATCTTAAAAACCAATGTTATTCACTAATTCACATACTTGCTGGAAATCTGCATGGGACAAGACCCTGACAGATTCTCCTAGACTTCCCGTCCTAAGACAATGCTGCCAACATCTGTAGGGTAGGTTAATTTTAGGGTCCTATATAAACAGGGGTGGAGAATAACCAGGACCCTCTCTGCACACATTTGTGACATATTTTGTAGCTTTGGAGAGTCAAGTTACACCATTTTTATATTTGGGAATGTATCACTGGTCTCCACCAAGTGACCTCACACTTTCAGATTTCTCCCTGTATTCCTGATGAGAGCCATCACACCTGGTACATGGGGAAAGTTTCAAGGATCCTCTGTTGACTTGCCGTCCATGGAAGTACATTTAAATAAAGGCCTTAGTAGGGCCTTCCTTTGTGATGAGAGGTCCCTTTCCAGGTTTTTTCTGTCCACCTAGCAACTAGCCTGACCCTTGGGGAAAGATTTCTTTTTCTTGGGAGGGGTTTGTTTGTAGACTGATGCAGATGTCTTGGGAGGTAAATAGCAAAACTTTGGTGGGGGAAGTGGGGAGGTTCTTAGCCTTATCTGGACGGGAATCAAATGTGACCTGGGGTAATCTCTTGATCTTTCCACCCTGCTACGGCCACTCTTTTTCTTTTTTTAAAACTTTGTCATTGTTCTCCTCATTGCCCCTCCCCTTTTTTAAAGAAGAAAATCTAGGTGGAGGCATGACCTCCACCTCATACCTACATCTAGTAGCTGGTGCTCAGGGTCATGTTGCACTTCTTGCTCTGGTTTTTGTTCCAGTGCCTGTGCCTTTTGTTGCTGTGTCTGTTGTTGCTGCTGCTGTGTCTGTTGCTGTGTTTGTTGTTGTTGGTGTGTCTGTTGGTGCTGCTGTTGGGATTGTTGCTGCATCTGTTCTTGTTCTTGCTGCTGGGTAGGCTTCTGCCTCAGGCTCTGTTGTTTTTGCCCCAGTGATATATCCTGCTGGGGAGGTGGAAGAGGAGCTGCCACCTTGTATCCCTTCCTGGTAACCTGCTGCCATTCACAGGCATTATTGGGGGTCTGACCCACAGCTTCCTTTACTGCTGCCTGTTGTTGGATTGTTGGCTGTTGAGCTGTTGTCTGTTGTTGTGTTGGTGGTGCAGGGTTCTTGCCAGGACATTCCTTAGATATATGCCCCACAGAACCACAGGCCCAGCAGTGGGGCCGACGACCCTGCACAACTACCAAAATTCGTCTGCCACCACAAGTCATGATATTGGGGATGTCATTGAAACTTTTTCTTGTTAGTGCCACATGTATGACAACATCCCCAGTGGAAATGCCTGTTTTGCCTTTAGCTGGTGAGACCTCAGCAACCTGTCCGTATTGGGCAAAAAAGGCTCCTAAATGGTCCTCAGATATGTCCAAGGGCACCCCATATAATGTAATCCTAGTCTTGCGGGTGCCCAAGTATTCTGTTTGTAATCTCACTGATTTTGTGGTGAAAATACTATCTGCTAGACTTTTGGCTTCGTTCTCTGTTGCCAGCAGGATATTCCACATGGTGTTGGACCTCTTGGCCAGCACTTTTGGGGCTATGTTGAGACTTTTAAGAGCCTCCTCCATTATTTCTCGGCTGACGGCAATCAGTCTCTGGGACTTGACATCTGAGGTCAGCAGTGAGATTGTTCTAGTAGAAACATCCTCCAAAACAGATGGTATTGACAGTAATTCATTACCGTCAATGAAGTCTTTATATTTTTCTTTGAGGGCCTCATAATACTTCGGCCCCTTCTTTAGTTTTTCTACACTCCATGTGGTCAGGGACTTGGAAAATACCTCCATAATGTTGGAGAGGAGAGCCCCCACGCCAAAACACGTACACAAAACTACTCTTAAAAACAATGCAGTTAACAAAAATTATGCGTACTAAAATAAACAATATGAAAACCACTGACAAAAATGTGTCACTTTGTTTCATTTGTTGGAGTTAGCTCCTCCTCAGCTCCTTAACCCTTCACCAGGGGTCTCTCTCCCCTGGCTATAAATACTGGCTGACCATTTGCCTCTTCCCCTTTTTTCCTCATGCATTCAGCCTTATACCACCTCGCAGATGTGAGCTCTCACAGATACAGCGTTTCCCAAATTCTGGGAACACGCTAAGAACAATACACGTATGTATGAACACTCACCACAATACACATATAATATTCACCACACGCACTTTGTCCATGTAACTGTCCACTCAATGTAACTGTTATGATGTTGATTTGGGCTTAGTAGAGACAAACACCAAATAACACGTAACAATAAAAAGGGTTTTAATAGGTTGGTAAAAAAGTACAGAAATCGCCTGAGTAGTCAATAACTAGCTCAGCTAAGAACTTCTCTGTCTATCTGTCTCTTCCATGTCAACTGACATGCCACTATTTAAAGTCTTTGTTTGCAGACAAGTTCATCTTCAAGAGGGGTGGTAGGTTTCCGACACAACAGTAACCTGTGTCGGAGTTAACTCCTCCTTCACTCCGTTAACCCTTTCACCAGGGGTCTCTCTTCCCTGGCTATAAATAGTCGCTGACCCTTGGCCTCTATCTCTTTTTCCTTCAGGATTTCAGCTATCAACCTCGAAATGTAGGCGCTAACAAGGGATAGCGTGGAAACACGCTAAGCACAATATTCACACATGCACGCACATACAGAATATTCACACACACTTCGTCCTTTGTACTGTTTCCATGTATTGTAACTTGTTATTAATATATATTTGTATACATATATTATCGGTCTTGTTTTGTTTGCTTTCTTTACCTTCTACTTGATTATTTCTCTTGTTATTGTCTTTGTTACATTTGATATTGTAAAAATTGTAGAGGGTCAGTTTTTATTTCTATTTATAACCAATACAAATTGGCTGACCCACTATATCTGTAACTTGTTATTAATACATATATTTGTTTATCAGTCTTGTTTGTTTTCTTTGGACTTAATTAAGTCCAACCTTCTCATGTAGTTGGACCGGCTAGCAGGAAATTCTACCCACATGTGTTCTACAATACATACACATCTTCACCCAACGGTCCGATACACATTCAATGAAGAAAAAATTTCTTTTCAAAAAAGAACATGCTGCCCATGTTTAAACATATTCCCCTGTACCTGGAAAAGCATTGTTATTCTCAAAAATTGCAAATGCAATATTCACTCACAAAAAAGAATTATTTTTACAATCCAAAATATAGCTTTTAATAACCCATGAAAGGTTGATAAACTGTAAAATAAAACAAATCAATTAATCAACAAATGTTTAAAATTCCTGAACTTCTTTCTGTAGATTCAGTCCAGTTATTAATGATTTTCTGAAAGAAGTATTAATGAAAAGTAAAACGAACGTCCTTCTTGCTTGATTACCGTTTTACTGACCTCTACAAGATCTACTATTCTTTAAGGTGGTGGTTGTGTAGTAATAACCCTTGAAAATAAGATAAAGAAGCTGCTAATCGCAACAAACCACATCATCATCAGAAGCAGTTTTTATGAATGAAAAAGCGAAAACGGAAGTGCTGCATTTGCCCGGATGTTGGACTCGCTGTCGTCGTCATCACTAAAACGAGAAAAATGATACATCAACGAAATGCTTGGTTATTTTTACTACTTACCAATGCTTACAGCTTGGATGACGGGGGCTGGTGAGTGTTATTTTTATTAAATTAAGTCACTCGGTGTTTTTATTGAGCAGTGCAAATTTTTAAACACAACATTGTTATTATTTTTATTGTCATCGTTTGATTGACCCTGACACGTCATGGAAGCAAACTTTGTTGTCAATCAATTCAATTCTTATTTCGAAGTTGTTTATTAAGCGAAAAGTGCATGATGTTTGAAAATATTTTGCATTCTTATTTGACAAATAATCTGGCATTTGATGTTTCTTTTTCTTTACAAATTTGCATACCAACCATTTTTAAGTCTTCTATTTATTTAAGGTTTTTTTTTGTTTTATCTTGTGTTTCCTTCTTGCGATATTTAGAATTTTGTAAAATTTGAAACATTTTTCCTTTGTCATAAATGAAGATGATAATCATTTTTTTACTTTTTCAGCATTTCAAACTATTTTTAAAAATGCCAAACACGGATTTCCCTCCCTTATGTTTTTAAATAAACTCATATTCTGAGCACTCCTTTTTCGATATGGAAAGTCTAGATTCCGAAATAAAACGGAAAATAACGCCCGAAAAACAAAATAATTGATAGAAAAATAATTTCCCATAAAGAAAAATGAGCGATATTTTTAGGTACCACCAAAGTCTAGTAAAATGGATGTTTTTTTTTTAGTTTTTGTTTTGAATGAAAGCCCCAAAAAATCGTTACTACACCCCGCAATCCGTACGCTTTTTTAAAATATTTGCCCATATCAGGGAATTATCTGATTCAAAGAAATCTTCATTAATTTTCTTTTATGAATTAATACTTTTAACGTTTTTATAGAATAGGTTATTTAAGAGTTGGTGGTGGAGGGGGAATATCCCCCCCCCCGATATCTTAAGAAGTGTACTCAACTGTATTTAATTTTGACTCGAGGATGTTCGTTCAATTCTTTTTTTTATTTTTTATTCTACAATTAAAGAAAAATCCCTGAAAATATTTTTACAATTTTACCACACAAAAAAACTACATTGTATGTGAGAATATACGGAAAAATTCGCCCCAAATCTTAGTTTAAATTAAAATAATAAAAATTAAAAAAAATATTTTTTGAGAATTGGTGCTTGCAAAATAAAATTAATTAAAAAAAAAAATGTTTTCTTTCAGATTGAACAGAAAAAAAATCTACTTTATTTATTTAAAAAATTGTAATTTTTAAAAAATTAAATGTTTTCTTTAGTTTTTTTTTTTTTTTTGTATTTTCCAATTCAGAGCTGAATTTGGGTAATATCGGGTCGAAGTTTACTAAAAAAAAGTTAATTTTATAATAATATTCTTCAAAATCTTCACTTTTAAATACAATTCCAAATTTACACAGAAGTCGAGTTTTTGTAAGGGGTGGGTAACAAGATGCAAAAAAAAAAAAAAAAAATTATCATTTTTAAAATTTTACATGACTTTCTAAAAGAAAAGACAAACATTTCTAAAATAATTTCATTCATTTGTGAATAAGTTCTGAAAGTTTCAATAAAATCCGACAATTATTTGGTTTTTGCAAAAATTTCAAAATTAATGTATATTTTTCAACTGAAAAAGGCGCTAAAAAATGACCGCTGACCTTTTTTCTTGCTCTTGCATCAACGAATAAACCAAAAATTAGTATAGGAAATTTTAGTGCCTGCAGTGAAAAACGCATTGATTTGGAAATTCTTGCAAAAATAAAATAATTGTTGGATTTTAATGAAACTTTCAAAACTTATTCACAAATTAAATTATTTTAGAAATGTTTCTTTTTTTAGAAAATCTTGGCAAAATCTTTTTTTTCATGTATAATTACCACCCACTTATTTAATTTTATGAAATTACAAGAAATTAATTTTTGTACCACTTTATATGCAGAAGTCCTTGGAATAAAAATCCTCAATTTTTTTTTTATTTATTTTCAAACAGTGCACCCAATTATCAGAAATCTGCTCTGAATCATTAAAAATGCAATGAAGCTAAGATATTATTTAATTAGAAAAGCTTTAATTGTTTTTATGTATAAGATATAGAGTGTGCCATGTCCTTTCAGGACATAGGAGTTCATGGCTCTCCACTTCCTCCTATCCCTTGTAGCTCTCAATAAGTTTTGTGCCTCTTCCATCTCCCCCAGACCACGTTATGCCATCCACTTGCTCAAGCCTGCCAGGTATGTCATGCAATGCTTTCCCTTGTTTCTCTTTCCCTCTATTCGACCTGTAGATATCAGATTCTTCAAGCCCTCCTTTCTCATTATATGTCCCAGAAACTTCAGCTGCCTCTCCCTGATGTTAAGTATAAGCCTCCTCCTTGTTTGCATCCTCTCCAAGACCACATTGTTGCTCACACTCTCAGTCCATGATATCGTCAGCATCCTTCTGTAGAATGACATTGTTGCCTTGAGTCTCTTCTTCATCTAAGAGGAGATCATTCAACATTTGTTGCCATAAAGGAGGACAAATGTCATGTAACAGCTCAGTACTCTTTTCTTTGTTACCAAAGAGATCCTCTTGTCTTGCATTACTCTGCCCAGCTTTTGGAATGTGTCCCTGGCCATCCCAATATGTCTATGGATCTCAATGTTGCACTTGCTGTCCTCTGTCAAAACCAAGAAAAAATTTTTTTGGTGAATAATGAATTGTTTTCATTTTTTAAATTTTAATTAGCATAATTTATCATTTTAAATCTTAAATTTCTATATCATTTTAGTTCATTGGTTAAATGATATTATTAAATAAAAACTATATTTACTAATCATAAATGGAAATGCTTATTAATACAATTCATTAACCCCACCTACACCCAATATCTTAAAAAAAATATTTGGAATTTTTTTTTTTTTTTTTTAACATGCTGATTTTTTGTAAATATGGAAATTTATACAAGACATTACCAGGAAATAAGAGTTAAACCAATAGGAAATTTGAAGCCAAAGTATCTAAAATTCAATAAAATATTAGATTACAGAGAATATTTTTTAATTTTTAAGGTTACTGGATAGTTAAAAAATTATATAAAAAAGGTGTAATTGTTATATTCCTCAAGTAATTTTTACAGATATTTCCCATATAGAAAAAAAATTAGATAAACTTCCAACTGTCAATCTAATCAAAACACCTACCTCTGTGTTAAAAAATACATTTCTGCAATATATTAAAGTAAGAGTAATATTTGTTTCAAATCAGATTAATTAAATTATAAATCAGCTAATCTTCCTCAAGTAAAATTTCAGAAGAGTATATTTTATTTTTGAAAGATTTTTTTTAATAAAGAGAATTCCTGTTAGTTTAAATTAGTTTTGAAATACAGCAAAGTATTTTGCTTAAATTGGAAATATTAAATTTAATCTCTTAGCTTAAAATAAAAACTTCAAGAAAGATTTTTCATTTAAAAAAAAAATTAAATTGAAACCTTAGATATCATGTTTTCTGTGGAGATACCTAGCTTAATATTTGGGAAATTTAAGTAAAGTGTACATAACTGTAAAAGTTACTTAATTAATAGGTGAATGCCTTTTTTCATCATTTTTTAACTATCCAGGAAAATATTCTGAGTAATCTAATATTGAATTTTAGTACTTTGGCTTAGTTATTTTAATTTTCATTACTAATTACAAAAATAATTACACAAAACCCCCAAACCAGAAATAGAACAAATTTTTTTTAAATTATTTTATGAATTTTTTTTTTCTTCTTAATCATTTTACCCCAAGCAAAGTAATAAAGCCACTAAGATGCAAGTGGTTACTGAGTGTGAAAGAATATGAGGAAACAAAAATCATTATTAAGGAGAGAGAAAAATAAAAGAACAGGAATTAAGAAAATAATGATCCAGGTATACATCCACGGATTCGCTATGCCGCAGGTGCCACTTGATGAGTTGTTTGTACGCCATGAATGAATCTGTAGCAAAGGCTGTAATTAAGGCAGTCTTCATCTGGTCAGCGTTGGATTTTGCTTTGTCATCCAGCTGTTGGTAAACTGCAAATGCTCTGCCTGTAAGTCTCAAAGGGATCACATGCTCCAAAGACTTCATTCCACAAAGCCTGCAAACGAGCTCCAGCTTCTCTATCCATTCAATCACTGGAAGACCGGATGCTGATCCAGCAGACTTGGGAATTTAAATTGAATTTGGTGTCTGCCATTGTCCGTCAATTGCTGAAATAGCTTGTTTTGTTTTGTCTGGTTTTGCACATCCACATGTTGAGCGCACCTCTCTCAACTGAGAAAAAACTGGTGTTATATAATTCTCCCACTCCCAGACCCATGCTGGCTATTGGCTAATACCTGCCCAATATTGTTCATATGCAAATTGTCAGTGACACCTACACTAAGTAGAAGGTCTTCTCTCAACAGCCCATTGTGGAAGAAAACATAACTCCTGGTGCTTACAGCACCCCATACAAACAACTTGGAGTCTCTTATTGGGCTGATTCAATTCTCTGTTACATGACTGACATTGCCTGGAAAGCAAGAATCCAGAAGAGTTCCATAAGCAAGAATTTCAAAAGAAGAAATTTGGCATATCACTTAGGGTTACGTCTAGCAATTTCAACATTAAAATATTTTTAAGAATTAAAAATTGTATGAAATTAAGCCATCAGTAATATATAATAGATTTTTCTTTGTAAGTACATATTTTACAGCTTTGTTTCCTGAAGGAGTTACTCCAATGAAACAAATGTGTGTAAGGCCTCATTTGATTTAGTGAAGTGTTAAAATAAACAAAACTTGGGTTTTACACTATTTCATTGTTTAGACTGTTGTCCTCATTTTTGTTGCCATATTCATGATGTTTTGGCTGTTGTACACTCTGGCCTTCTTCAGGTGATTGGAATTTTGAATATAACAACAAAGATGAAGACAACAATGTAAATTGTGTAAATTACAATGCCTCATTTCAGAAATATAGACAAAACTTGGGTTATTTCAGAAAAAAAAATCAATAAAAGTTCAGGACTTCTAAAAGAGCTATTTTTTCCAGTTGTTGGGGAGATAAAAAGTAACTTGGGCTTATAGATAGA